AAATTTAAAACTCCAAAACCCTAAAAACAATTTGAAAGACGTTGACTTTCTCAAAGTCTAGGACTTCACACTTGCCTAATCCCTGCTGCCATAGCTCACCACTGTTTAAATATATTTAATATTTATTTATTTATTTTTTTTACTGTAATTTGTCTGTTTAAATATATCTAATTAGTTTGTTGAAAATTTAAGTAAAAATATTTAATTTTTTATCCTCTTTTTATATATATATATATATATATATATATCTTCTTTTAATTCCAAAAATGGATCTATGTATGATATCAATAGATATGTGTGTGTGTGTGTGTGTACGTACTAAGAAATTGAAGTTTTAAGCACATCATCATGAAGTGTAGTAAGTAAATGGTTCTTATATTTATGGTCTAAATTCAAGAACCGATTAGATTCAAGAAAAAAAGAATCTTCATCGTTAATCCCACGATTTCTTAACACATCATCATCGTTACTAACACTTAAATTCTGAATATTACTGATCGTGATCTCTACAGAGTATTCCGACATTAACAATTCCTCTTCTTCTTCTTCTTCTTCTTCTTCTTCCTCTTCTTCTTCTAAGACAAGACTTCCTCTATCTTCTTCTTCCTGTGAATCCGTAGAATTCCTACTTGCAGGTGACGATGGTAATTCATTGTTCTCCTCATTTTCTTCTTCAATGTCGTCATTGCTCCTGACTGTGATCCAATCATCGTCAAATTCCCAACTGGGTGACCTCGAAATTGCAGATGAACAAGTTCGAATCAGCTTCTCGATCCTCTCCGATGGATAATTTAATGAACACCAAGGTTGATCTGTTAGATTCAAAGGAGTTCCAGACATTTCCATGGAGTCCCAAAAACATTGATCCAGAACAGAGCTTGGAGAAGATGAATTCACCCTCGTAATTTTCTTCAAACCAGGCTCCATTTCATCAACAAATGGATGATCAAGAAGTTCTCTAATCGTCCATCTCTGGTCAGGATCTACCTTCAAGCATTTATTCAAAAAATCTTTACCACTTTCCGACAACCAGCTCGGGTTCTCCGGCACCTCGCCGGAGAATCCAATTTTATAAAGAGCTGAAACGGCGTCGTTTAGCTCCTTCCAAGGATTATTTCCAGTCGCCATCTCAATTATTATACAACCTACAGCCCAAACATCAGCCGGAAACCCCTGTTCTTCTCCTCGTGCCACCTCCGGCGCCATGAACGCCGGCGTACCTGAAATTTCAGGAACTCCATTTTTGGAGAATTCGGGCACCAATTTAGCACAACCCAGATCGGCAATCTTTGCTCCATCTTCACCCATCAAGATATTCTGGCTCTTTATGTCACAATGAGCTAACCCGTTTGAATGAAGATAGCTTAAACCCTGCAGGATTTGGCGCGTGAATGATCTGATCAGGGGTTCATCCAGTCGTCCTCCACGGCTTCTGATGACGTCACAGAGGGTTCCGCCGGAGATATACTCCACGAAAAGATTATACAGAGGCGTATTGTTTTCCCGGGTGATGTTAAAGCCAATGTACTTGACTATACGAGGAAAATTCAGTTTGGATAAGAAGAATTGCTCTTTCTGCAAGGACAGAGAGGAAGAAAGCTCGGCGGACTTAACGGCGATAAGGTCGCCGGAGAAGTTATCGACGGCGAGAGAGACGGTGGCGGTGGAGCCATGGCCGATGGTGGGTCCTCGAGTCCAGTTCTCCATTGAAGGAAACACGAGGAAGAAGAAAGTGGAAGGATGAAGAACAGAGTGGATTCTGCGTAAATGAAATGACTCGAGTCTCTTTAAATATATATGTGGTTAACGGGTGTGTACGTATGCGTGTGGATATATATATATATATATATATATGTATGTATATACATGCACAACATAGAGGACTTTGTCCCATTGATTTTGGTGTGTAAAATACGAAGTTCAAAGTGAAGGAATATTATTTTATTGTTGC